GTTACCTAACTAATGCATGTATCTATATTAAACGTCTTCTCGATCGCTCGTTGTATTAGAATATATAAAGTCAATAATATTATAATTACAATTACTGTATGTTTGAGTTATAACCATTTATTAACTCTAATACCATATGCTACATGTTACATTTAAAAATCAGGAAAAAATAATAATGGAGGTAGGTTTAGAAAGGCGAAACAAAAAAAAATCATGGAAGTTACAAACGAACGGAATTTCCGTGATGCACATTAATACAAAATGGTCATCATATCATTACCATAATATCATAATATTATTCATGAAACATCATTTAATATAAATAAAAATTTATTATAAAGTTTGGAACGGACAATTCGGATAAAATAATTGGTAACTGGCCAAAACGTAATGATTGATGCAAGAAGGCGCAGGGTAAAACGCCGTCGTATGAAGCTTCCATGGTCAAAGAAAACGGTGTCGTTCTGGGATCACCACTTGTCTCCATGGCTTTTCTCTCTATTTATCACTTCATTATCCCCAAAGCCTACCTCTCTCTCACTGGTTGACCCGAGAATTTCTCTCGCAGACGCACGGATCTCTCTTCGAATCTGCTAGATCTGTTCCTTTTCCAACATCTGTATTGCGAAATCTGAGGTATGTTCCCACTTCCTTGTCTGATTCATTCCCTCAAATCGAATTTTGGTCACAGCTAGGGTTTGATTATCGTTCGCGATTTCCTGATCTTCCTCGGGCTTTGTTTTTAATTTCCCCAGATCGGAAGCTTTCCTTCTCAGATCTATCGATCTCCGTACAGGTTTCCGAGTTGACGCATGCTGTGTTTTCAGATCTGGGTTGCTTGTAATTCTGATTGTTGCGTCGAGGATTGGAAATGGCGGAGACTCTCAAAGAAGACTCGATCATGATTCGCGAGGTTTGGAACGACAATCTAGTGGAAGAATTCGCGTTGATCCGTGAAATCGTCGATAAATACAGCTATATCGCCATGGATACCGAGTTTCCAGGTGTCGTCCTGAAGCCGGTGGCGACTTTCAAGTACAACAACGATCTCAACTATCGGACCCTCAAGGAGAACGTCGATTTGCTGAAACTGATCCAAGTCGGGCTAACGTTTTCCGACGAGAACGGGAACCTGCCGACTTGCGGGACGGACAAGTTCTGCATCTGGCAGTTCAACTTCCGCGAGTTCAACATCGGCGAGGACATATACGCGAGCGAGTCCATCGAGCTGTTGCGCCAGTGCGGGATCGATTTCAAGAAGAACGTCGAGAGGGGCATCGACGTGGTCCGCTTCGGGGAGCTCATGATGTCCTCCGGGATCGTTCTGAACGAAGCCATCTCGTGGGTTACTTTCCATGGAGGGTACGATTTCGGGTACCTGGTGAAGCTGCTGACTTGCAAGAAGCTGCCTCTCAAGCAAGCCGACTTCTTCAAGCTGCTCTACGTCTACTTCCCGACGGTTTACGATATCAAGCACCTGATGACGTTCTGCAACGGGCTCTTTGGAGGGTTGAACAGGCTCGCTGAGCTTATGGGAGTGGAGAGAGTCGGGATCTGTCATCAAGCCGGGTCAGATAGCTTGCTCACCTTAGGCTCGTTTAGGAAGCTCAAGGAGCGATATTTCCCTGGGTCGACTGAGAAGTACACCGGAGTCTTGTATGGTCTAGGTGTGGAAGATGGTACTAGTACTACTACTGTTGCTAATTAAGGAAGACAACCGAAAAGGCTTTGGGACTGCAATTAGGTTTTTTCTTTAGTCTTTTGTGAGTGTGAGACCAATTAGACTTTCTCTCTTTGTGTAAATTGGCCAAAAAAATTGGTTTTAGTAAGTGACTGTTGTGTCTTGTTATTTTTTTTTTTTTAATTTCAGGAAAACCTCTTTTGATCAAGATGAGGGGGTTTTTGTTTTAGCTTTGAGTTTTCTGAATGTATATCATTTCAGCTACCCGTTTCATTAATAAATAATCTAAAATTATAATCTAAATTTCGTTTCCCCTCTTCTTTAGCAGAATGGCGTTTGCTTGTTCCAGTTTGCAGGTTCTGTGTAATTTCTTTGTAACCGCAAAGATGTGGATCAGTTTGAGGAATTGCAAAAATGATCAGCAAACGGGTAAGTTTTATGCTTTATCAGATTCATGAATCTTTGTCTTCTTTCTCGTCTCTTTTGACATTGGTCGATGAGAAGAACAATGGATGGCTTATATGCTAAAGAAGTAAAGATTTGAGTATATTATTGGCTAAATCTGGAGGAGATCACATGTATTGTTATTGCCAATCACCTCAAGAAGACCCAATTCGATTATCAATTATGCTTTAAATACAGTAATACCATGAACAGCAGCACTTTCAAAGTGTAGCTTCGCTTGTAGAAGTTGAGACTTTGACCAACCAAAGTTGAGAGACTACATACGATACGATGTTTTGGTTTACCTAATGTCAATCGAAGTAGCAAACGGAGATAGGAGAAGTTAGGACGATCCCATTCAGACATTTTTCGGTTTTAAGGATTTCAATTTTAGAGGGAGGGCATAACTGTCTTTTCATATTTTCTATCTTGTGGGCCTTGTGGCTGATTCGACAAAAATGTTCATTACCCGAATTTTAGCCTAGAGTGTCAATTGTTTGTGGGTTGGGCTTCTGAACTTGACCTTTGTTGTTGTATGAGCTTCGCAATCACTAGTCATCAAATGGGCAGAGCGTTTTACCAAGTTTTGTGTTGGACATCAAATATATCAAAAGCTAATCCAATCGATGTTTAGATGTTGTTATTATTTGTCAAATTAAAAAATGCATTTTAGATAACTTATTAACAATATTATAGGTCGCATTCGACAAAATACCCAACATACTAAACTACTTAGGATTTTTTACTAGACTTTTTATTTTAATTTCGGTTTCCACTACGTATATAATCAAGGCTAAACTTTGGAGAATCATAAAAGTATATATAAGAATCTTATCCCCAACCTAGATGAGACGCTCTGTCGTTTCAATTTGTTTTCCCACCCAAAGTATAATTATTTTCAAAAAGCTAAACAGTATTCATTTAATAACGTTTTTATATGACAAACGATTATCTTGTATCACGAGCAAACAGGGAAGTATATAACTCGCTCTTGTCGCATTCGCATCTAAACATTATTTATTATTGGACGGGGGAAAATAGAGTATAAAATAAAATTCAACCTTTACAAGTCCATACAAAAATATCGGCATCAACTTATTATTCAAATCAGCATCAACTTACTATATTTACAAACGATGTCAAGTAATTATGATCAAGTGTTAGTTATTTGTATTACCTAAAGAAATTAGAGTTCATAGTTAATATGTATTATTGTTTTCTTAAAGAAAAAGGAAACTTTAAGTCAACTCTCAAGTGGGTTTGAACACCTGAGTTGGCTCCAAAAAACCAAAAGAAAGCGATATTAATCATGTCCCTTAATTCATACAATAACAATCAAGTGGAAAGCACACCAGAGTAAAAATGATCCAATAATTATATATCAATATGGATCCAAACACAAATCCACATGATCAATAGAAAACAAATTAAGTAATCATCATGGTTTCAACACAAGAATGATATGTTGCTGAGGTCTTTCTTCTAGAGAGACTACATATAAGGGGACAAGGAAATTTTCAAGAATCATATCGAAAGTGGCAATCACTGTGCAGTAGAATGTGTCCTAAGACTAATAAAGAGAGTTTAGTAGTGTGTATTCGAAACCCCTTCACCGTAAAATTCGGGTGCTTCTTAGACTATTGAGGATTCCAATGGAAGAAGAGTGAATATGAAGCAAACTTTAATAAGCAAGAAGCGGAAGAGGACAAAAGAATGAGCGAGGAAAAGGAGTTAAACAGTAGAAAGCTAAAAGGAAACAGAGATGGCCACTTTCCTCTCGAAGCTTCAAAAGCACACAGAAACATCAAACATACCTGAATAATGTCTCTTGGTCCACTCTCTCCTTCTCTCTCTCTCTCTTGTCATTAAGCATCCTTTTCATTTCATTGTCACTTGTTGTCATCTTCATCTACTCCATGAATATACAACAAGTTGTCGTTTCATCAAACAAATAAAACCGGTCCCAGTTTTGGGAACTGCTAAGCTTTCTTTTGTCTTGTTCCAACCCAACTCCTTTTTTCCTCATACAAAAGAGTCCAAAAAGTCTCCATTAGTTTTTGAACTAGTGAGTGCTGTACAGATTCAACGACACATTTGAAGGATGAACTCTCTGTTAAGGAGGGTTTAGTAATTTCCTTACACATTTATCCGCATTTTTATACGCGAAGAAGACAAGCTGGCCCGTATAAGAATCTGTCCACAGAGAAACAGCGCATCCATCAATCATAACAGGATTTTCCCTGGTCACATGGTCCACTCGATGACCAAAATATCAAGCATAGTTCTTAAATAAAAAGTTCATGAACTCACCCGGAAAGAAAAAAAAGCAAAACTCATTTGATATGCTTTCTTGAATAAGAGATCAACCTGAGGTATAACAAAAAAATATATATGACATGTAAACTCGTTGTTGAAGAACTTTTAAGCACATAAAAGCACAAGACTGGGATTTAGATTCATCATGATAGAGAATAGAGATTGGTTTATTAAAGGCCAAAAAAGGTTGATGTGAAGTGAAAGTTTGCTCCTACAAAGGGATAAACACAGGTATTAGATGGTGGAGTTCTAATCAGCTTCAAGTGCTTTGTTGTGTCTTTGTGTGTGTGTGGCGTGTCAGCAAACAAGACCTACCAATCTCTCTCTCTCTCATTTTCTTGATACTTTTCTCCACTTATTAAAATACTCAAAAGCATTTGTAGTGAGTCTATTCTTTCCTTATATAGTATCAACTTCTGCTCCCCCTTCTGAGAGAAAAAAAAACTAGATTTTTATGCTTTCTTTAGGCAATTACTCCGAGACATAAGGTGAGAGCTAAAGAGACAATTCAAGGGGGAAAAAACATACCTGCAAAATTATATTCCTTCTTTTGACCCTTATGGATGCCTCCAGGGAAGAGCCAAGGCACTCATGCATCGCTTCCACATCCACCACTCTTCCATTTCCAGATTCTCTGAAGCTGAGCCTTGAACATTACAACATAGACGCAGAAACGGCACAAGAAGAACCTGGAGAGGACGGTATAAATCTCGACCTTGTGCTAGCAGAATATGATTATAGTCAACCACAGCTCAATCAAGAACTCAATCTCATCGACGGCTTAGACACCGGTGTAGCGACTCCGAGTTGTAACAGGTCAGGATCCAGTGAGCAGAAGCTCTTCTCATGCAACTACTGTCAAAGAACGTTCTACAGCTCACAGGCGCTTGGTGGTCACCAGAACGCTCACAAAAGAGAGAGGACTCTGGCAAAGCGAGGGCAACGGATGGCCTCTGCTGCAGCTTTCGGGAACCCATACGGTTTTGCTCCGGTCCCGTTCCATGGACAGTACAGCAACAGATCCTTGGGTATTCAGGCGCACTCAATGAGTCACAAGCTGAATTCATATAACGCCTTTGAGTATGGTCAGATCAACTGGTCAAGGATACCATTTGCTCAACAACCAGCCGTAGGTAAACTATCTTCAACAGAGCATCATCATCAGATGATGATTGCTCCATCGTTGACTTCAACATGTGAAAACTTCGGTAGGTTCGATGTAGGAAGGATTCCAGTAGAGTTTCCAGCTCCTGAACTAGGAGAAGAGGCGGGGAATTGTTGAAGCCTGCTGAAGAAGAGCAGCAGAAGAACCTTGACTTGTCCCTCAAACTCTAAGATTCTATTCTTTTCTTTTCTTTCTTTTGCTTTTGCTCTGAAATTGTTTTCTTTGAGCCAAGTCCCTGCTCGAGTTTTGTTCTCTTTCTGCTGTTTTTTTTGTTGTCATTAATACCTTCACCAGTTGGTATTGATCTTGTGAGTATATTTTGTCTTGCATAGATTTGTGACGTACATGTTTCCACATTTCTACAAGTATGAGGGCATTTCGACGTAGACATCAATGGATTTCTAATAGACACCGAACACCAATAAGAGTTGGTGAAGTTCCTAGAAATAAAAAGAGACTTTTTAGTGTGTAGAAGAAAGATATGATATTGATCTATGGGCAGATTTGATGTCATGGAAACCAGAAAAAATAAAGACTTAGATTATTATAAAGCCACAGTTGGGTTACCTAAAAGCAAGGAAAACATTCTTTTATTGAAAAGTGATTAACAAGACACAGAAAGAAAAACAAAACAGATATGAAAGAAGAACTTGCTGTTAATTGTGATGATGACAAGAAGCAAAAAGTTCAGAAGAAGAAATACAATTAATACATCATATGATCCTCCTAATAATGCAGCTAACGAACCAAAAAATCATGAAATAATCAAGAATCCAATGAAATCTTTGTGAGACCCCAAAATATGGCCTTTAGGATGAGCCTTCATGCAATACCTTACACATACATAAATAGAATGTACACAATAACCATGTGCGTATGATACAAGAGTCAAAACCATGAGACTAAAAAACAAGTTTACAGGAACATCACATAATAATAATTCTGATGGAATGACTCCAACTTCTCTACATTTTCTCTACACATCTTGAGATGAATTATGTCAAATGAAGAAAACATCAAAACAAGGATCTGTTCACGAGTTTTCTTGCAAATATTTAAGAAAACACATGATTGATAAACAGGTTTTATGAATAACTTAGCAAGCAGAGGAGGTAACTTAGAGGGACCAGAGGGTCCTCTTGAGCATATAGCAAACAGTATATTATGACCAACAGAATTTACCATTATACTTAATTATTAAAGGACAATTTAGAAGACAAGTAACCCCTTTGATATATTAAAAAAAAACATGAAAAATTGACAGTTGCAATTATCATCAAACATTGGACAGTCACACTATAGATTATCAAAGTCTTCACCGTATAATCAAATAAGACCTCTGCGTATATTTTCTTCCACAGTAAATATTTAGGCAAAAGACAGATCATCTTGTTTGTTTTCAGATAGAGATTGGCCACAACGAACAAAAATAAATCAAAAGGCTTCATAAATAAGACCAAGAGGAAACACCAAGGCAGACAATAACACATGTGAAAAGGAAACAAGAGAGTCTAATGGAACCAAACCTCATTGATCACTAACTCTTGGGTCCATTTTCATCTTCCTGTATACAAAAAATTCTGACCCCAACAATATTCTTCAACCTGAGAGTCACATTTTCCTGAAACACATGGCAGAATTAAGTTGAGACCCACAGTTTTTATTCTATGGGTTCATTATCAGGTTGCTACAAACTTCCACCCACATTTTAGCAGATAAATTGAATCAATGCAAGTGAAAAAAATATCCGTTTTGATGCACTGTTACACATGCCTTCTCCGACGAAGAGATGAGCATAAGAAAAGGATCCAATAAAAATATCATATATTCATAATCAGACATTCTTCAATGTTCTCGCATTTGCAGTTCACACCTTTGATATAAGCAAGAAGAAGAATAGTTAAATCGAGCTATTTTTCATTGTTTTAATGTTTTCCATAGAGATTCTGGGAATGAATATATAATTTAAAGTTCCGACTGGTTCTACTGAACAATCCTCCGGCAAACAAATATGAAGCTGAGCAACAACAAACTGTACCAACTCATTCGATTTCGGAATTTTGGCATCACCAACTCGCAGAAAATTATGAGAAAGCCATTTAAATCATCACCAGAAAGAACGTGTAACGAAAGAAGCACACTCACCTTATGTTGGCGTTCTAGTCGACGACATAGCAATACCGGAGTCTCGACGGCGACGACGTGACTCCGCGCTTTCGGGGATGATATATTTAACGAGAAGGAAATATCAAAGATCGTTAATGGGCCAAATAATAGGCCCATATTAGCAATTAGTTGGGCCATACTGTCACGATCGGTTCTATAGTGTGTTTTCCTGGTTTATCTTCAGTGTGTTTTATTCCCGGTTTTTCATGTGTGTGTTTATCGAAGTGAAATCAGTTTAAAATACTGAAACAAAAGGGGAAAAGTCTGCTGATGGATAATGTCCAATCAAAGTAATTATCCATCTTCTTGTTATTTTGGTTTTATTATTTTCTAAATTATGGGACATTTGTGATCAAAAACATTTAAGTAATGAATTCAACAGGACTTCTTATAATCGAGAAAACAAGGGGACTTCCGTCATTAAAAAAAGAGATTTATATCATTGTTATGCTTCAAGGAGCTGTTGAATGTACTTGATAAAAGCAAAAAAAAAAAACACAAAAACGAAAAGCAAAGAATCCAAAGACTAGTAAGTAATACAAGCCCGACGAAATCTAAATGAATAGGGTCAAGTCTTCTTAAGCGCGTTCTCCACGAATCCGTCTGGCCAATTGAATGTCCTTGGGCATGATTGTAACCCTTTTAGCGTGAATCGCGCAGAGGTTGGTGTCCTCAAACAGACCCACAAGGTATGCCTCCGCCGCCTCCTGAAGAGCTAACACCGCGTGGCTCTGAAACCTCAGATCCGTCTGCAAAATTCAATCAACAAACCAAATCCGATAAGAACACTTTATAGCAATCAATCGTAAACCTAACTCCAGGTTAAGCTTATCAAAACATTGAGAAATTCGAGGGAGTAATTTTACCTTGAAGTCCTGGGCGATTTCACGAACAAGTCTCTGGAAAGGAAGTTTGCGGATCAGCAACTCCGTACTCTTCTGGTATTTCCTAATCTCACGAAGAGCGACGGTTCCGGGACGGTAACGATGGGGCTTCTTCACTCCTCCGGTGGTCGGCGCAGATTTCCTTGCCGCCTGTATCACAGATATCGTTAGAGATGCAATCAAAGAAACTCAAAATTAAACCCAAAATTGAAAACCCTAGATCCCCCTTTCAACAAATTTCGATAAAAAACGCAATCACAAACTTGAAATTCTACTCGAATTTGGAAAACCTTAGATCGAATTCACCGTTTTCAGTCCCAGAAAACTTGAAATTCATCTCAAAATTGTATTAGAAAAAATTCCCAGATCCCCGTTTATCCATACGAAGAAAAAGGATTAAGGATCAAAGAACAGACCTTGGTGGCAAGCTGCTTCCTGGGAGCTTTACCTCCGGTGGATTTTCTAGCGGTTTGCTTCGTACGAGCCATTGTCTTCTCAAAGATGCGACCTTTCTAAAGGATTTGAGAGATTTCAATAGATTGCAGAAAAGTGGGTTTCTCTTGGTGTGAAATAGTAAAAGGTTATTATTATGAATATATAGTGGTGTTTAGTCGGTTAATTTTGGGATATACACAAGGGCGGTACGATCTGGACATTTTCGACGATCCAGATTCGATTGATTCATGAAAAAACTGACGTGGCGATCCGCGCCTGCGCTTCTCATTGGTTCAAATACTGGGAGGATCGATGACGTGGACGTTTTGTGTTTCTTTTGGTCGTTTGAAGTTGTGACGATTTACAATCAGTCGTTGGTGATTAGCGGTTATAGGCCGAGCCGTGTTTCTGTACTTTGAGTGCTATAAAGTCAAGTTGTGTTGAGGCCCAACAAAAGGCCACAACACATGTGTACTTATCAAAAGCTAATACGACCCGAATTTGGACGGTTGGTCCGATGTAAATAATTTTAAAGTTCCGGGTCCATCCGAAATTAGTTTGTTCGACCAAAAACTGACATTTGATTCCTGTATGACATTTTGTTCACATGAATGACTATCTCAAGGTTTGTTATAACAGTGGCTACACATAAGAAATCTAACTAAAACATATTCGTTACTTTTTAGTTGGGAAACCATAAAATGATATGTTAAGCTTTTTGGTATAAATGAAGAAGATTCATCGATGATGAAACATAATTTGCGGATAAAAGCATATATAGACATCTTAACGTTACACACAATGTTCAATTAGGTCGGTTTGATTCTACTCGATTCATGCCAGTTTATGCTTATGCCAATATGTAGACTTAAGATGTTTCTCATCGATAATATAGATGACTTGTGCTTAGAAAAAGTAATCTTCATTGATCGAGACCGTCATAAAAAAATAAAAATCTCAACGTAAACTTTATCATATTGTAGGACGAACCCTTCCAAGAAGATGTGTAAAGAAAATCTAATTTCTTAACCAAAAATTGCATGTTCGATGCCCGTTTATGGACTGTTCCATTTATTCCAAACTTTCTTAGTTTTTTGAAGGCCTATCATTTTTAAGAAAATGCAAAAAGTCAAAATTTCTTTTAGTTAGGCATATAAGCTGTTTTTCAATGAACCACAGAGGCCAGATTTCCGTTGGACTTGGACCTGCACATACCATATTCTTATGTCTTCACACTTAAGGTAGAGTCCTCATAGAAAAACGTCTCCTTCATTTTATCACATAGATATAAAGAAAAATTGAAGGGTGCAGTCAAACGCCAATACATACAATTATCGATTAGATCTCTCTTGTAATTATATTTGTGTACCAAAAAAAAAAAATATAGTTTCATTTGAATTCCTAAGAAATATATAAGCTGCAGAAGCATTAATGAAGAAGATGTGCTTACAAAGAGAAAGTCAGGCCACAGATCCTTAGAAGTTAGCACCCAACAAGCAAGCGTCAGTAAGTAACCCATGGGGAATGTATCCAAGCTTCCATAACATGCACTTAAACAATCCTCTGCTTTGCATCAATATTTTAATTTAATATTTTTACGTTTATGTGATACTAAAATTGAAAATACTGTAAGCAAATCACGCCACATGCTGAATATGAGATATGTAGGGGGAATAGGAGCTCGAGGTTTGGATCATTGATCAACCATTTTATTAGTCTACTTAAATAGAATCCCACACTTTGTTTGAGACGATATTAATTAAATCACTGTTATTAGTAATGTTAATTGCAATGCATCAAGGGGACAATAGATGGATCACATTTAACTTACTTGACAAAATTTGATCACATGAAAAATGTACGATATAACGATGCCTTGGGAGACAATCAGAATCAAGTTTACATTTTCACCGAATATAAAACGAGACATCTTTTGGGTTCTTCTTGCTTATAAAATGGAAGGAGATAGGAGATGAGATGTTTTGCGCACATGGGGGTGTGGACACATTCGTAAACTACAAATGTTAATGCTTTGGTACGCCGCATTACATTATTTGCCATGTCTTTTTTGATAAAACGAAAATATGAAAAGAAAAACTAAAAATAAATTGATTTGCCTCTGGTGACAAGATTTTCTTTACAACATAATTAAAAATACGTTTGTTTGCTTTAACATTTCCTCCCTTTTCCAGCCAAGCATGTGGTGGGTTTTTATTTCTTTCTTTTAATTAATTAAATATTTCCTACTTCCGTGCGCGTAAGTTACAATTATTAATCTGAAAAAGACTTGATTTAGTATTCATTAGCTTTGACTCTAGAGCGGCGGATGTAGCCACCGTGCCTTTGTTTGTACGAGCACGACCTAACTTGAAGCATTTTAAAAACATCCTTAAAATTTAAAATAGGTTATACATAACAAAAAATGTAGCTAACTTTTGCTCCTCAGTACCATATACGCTGTTTGTTTTTCCAATGTGAAGACTTTGATTTAAAATCAAACAAGATTATGTATATAAAGATATACATGGCTCTTCATGTCTCTAAATCGCAAAAGGTGGTGTTTTAACTTTTAAGTTTTTCCAAAGACTGGTCTTCTTTTACAAAACTCCTCCACATGCTTTTATTTCCCTATATAGTATTAATCACTTCTCTTTCTTTTAAACATGACACTTCATTCTCTTGTTACAAATGTTATTGATATATTTCAATACTATATATGACAAATTTGCTTAATTAACAAGAACCCATTAGTTGTCTTTAATAACTGCCATTTCATCATTTGTTTCTTCCATGATAGGATAGCATGATTTATTAAAACCTTGCATTTTATAGGAACCAATCAATCACTAATTAACTTCACATGTCGAATCCATCATATGTTGTTGATATGAGACATCAGCACATCCAATGTACTAAGAAGAAAAAAACATACAAGATCTTTAATGCTAATCCGCTAAGAATCGTATCTAATCTTTCTTCTAACAAGATAATTAAAACTAATCTCCAGAATAATTAATCTATCCATAATCCATCACATACTACTACTAACCATGTTTCATCCGACGCAAGAAGCCAAAGGTAAGAACCAAGGTGGTAAACTCGTAATTAACTAGGAAACCTGATGGCATTATGCTACTCCTTATAATATATAACCCTCGTCCTTCTCAAAATCTCAAATCCTCTGCAACATTTTCAATAGCTCTCCCTTTCTCACACTTTCTCGTCGAACTCACAAATCGGTGAAAAATGGCTGGAGGTATCGGAAAATGCAGCAAGATCCGGCACATTGTTAGACTGAGGCAGATGCTCCGACAATGGCGGAACAAGGCGCGAATGTCGTCTGTCAGACGCTGTGTGCCGTCAGATGTTCCGTCAGGACACGTGGCGGTCTACGTTGGGAGCAGTTGCAGGAGATTCGTGGTGCGCGCGACGCATCTGAACCACCCCATCATCAGGAATCTCTTGGTCAAGGCCGAAGAGGAGTTCGGTTTTGTGAACCATGGTCCGTTGGTTATCCCATGCGAAGAATCGGTTTTCGAGGAATCAATTCGGTTAATTACCCGGTCATGTCGGTCCACCTGTACCGACGATCTAAAGAAGAATCGCCATGGTGGCATCAGGAGTAAGCTGGATCTTTTGATTGAATCTCGGCCGTTGCTTCATGGCGTCTCAGAGAATGCTATCACCTGGTGACCTCAGAAGAAAATTGTCATTCATTTCTGACCCGGTTTGAGTCGGTACGGGTTTAGTCGCAGTTGCCAGGAGATGGCCGTGAAAGGTGTGTGAGTCGTTCCACCTGAGTCGTCCCGGGTTCGAATCCAAGTGGTGATCACATTGTGGTGTAGGCTGAAAAGTGGTCATGCAATTTCTATTAAATTTATTTATTCATTGTTTTCCTCCCATTCAATTTATTTATAAACTTTCCGAATTTACACACGTAGGTTTACAGAACAATTGTATTCCTCTGATATTTTAATTTTGCAATCGGCATTTGAATGTGAAATCGACTCGTTTTTTTATCACGGTCGGCTACAATATGTGCAAACATAATAACCAGTCAATCAATTTTTAGTATCAAGTAAACTTGGTACAATGAGCTCAAAGATCACTTTCCATGATACATATTTTTTGTTTGGTCAACCACTTTTACATATCTCTTCATTATTTTCCTACTGACAATTCTTCATCTTTGATATAAATTTGATAAATCTCATATGCAACATACTAGAAAATGAAATCTAATTTTGAATTTTGAAAATCAAGATTCAAAACGGATCAGGACAAATGAGACTAAAGAAATATACTGGGCCGATAAGGACTAGGCTGGCCCATCACAAATAAAAGTTCTCGAGAAATTTAGACCGTAGGATCCGTTTGATTTGAAATGTCTGCGTATATCATTAGCGTATAATTTGTGCTTATTTCTTTCACATTCTCTGCAACTTGTAAGTGATAACGAATGATGAAAAAGTGGATTTGTATCGTAAATTCAGCAATACGATGGGAAAAAAGTCCGGCCCAAAAAGGGGAGAGTATGGGGAAGACAGTGGGACCCGTTTTTCACATGTGACATTGGTACTTTGTCGGAAAACATGAAAATATTTCCCAAAAGGTGCCTCGCTCTTTTCCGTATCTTAAACACCATCACCTCACATCAATGATTAAAAAAAAACGCATTTCGTTTCACTATGTTTCCCTTCCCTCTCTTAACTTTTAGTTTTAATCCAATTGCACCCTTTCTTTATTAAATTTGCTTTATCTGCCGATTCTATTAATTTTTTTTCATTCATTTACACTCTTTTACATCCTAACAGCGAAGATCGAATTTCCAATTTTCCCTAACGTTACAAAACATATACATCTCACTATGAGTGGAAACGTGATATATAAAGTATTAAAAAGGGACCACCAAAGCAAAAAAAAATGTAAAGAAAATAGTAGGACTAAACTATATAATCATAGTCTAAAAATCGTAACAAAATTCAAAGCTCTAATCTGACTATTATCCAAAGCCACTGGAGTCAACATGTAACAACTAATCTTCTCAACTAATACAACAAGAACACCGTCATTAACT